ATCTGAATAGAATAAATAAGCATTTGTTTTTTCTATCTAGAGAGTGTAACACTCCAAAGTAGGAATTTGCAAGTTAAAGCATATAGGCTAACTAAATTCAGGCTACTATCTGTTTTTGGAAATAGAAATTTACTTACATAAGTATTGTTATTAAAACCATTGATTTAAAATTATTGTTTTTAAATTTGAAATTACTGTTAACACTTAAAAAAGTATAATGGAAAGGGGTGCCTGGGTGGCTCAGTCGGTTAAATGTCTGACTTAAGCTCAGGTCATGATCTCACAGTCCGTGAGTTCGAGCCCCGTGTCGGGCTCTGTGCTGACAGCTCAGACCCTGGAGACTGTTTCAGATTCTGTGTCTCCCTCTCTCTCTGACCCTCCCCCATTCATGCTCTGTCTCTATCTCAAAAATAAGTAAATGTTAAAAAAATTTAAAAAAATTATAATGGAAAGAAATAATGTAGTAAAAACCAAAATTTAAGTAACAGTATAAACATTACAAAAATCTCTTTCAAATATATTAGTCTATTAACATTAATACTTATAATAGGAATATCTGTCCCTTTATAGTGTCTGGACCTCAAAAGCAAGGAGAGGGTAAAAATGATCAAAGCTAATGTGTTTATTGATCTGCCTTTCCATTTGACCTTTCCCCTCAACACCAGTCTTTATTACACTGATTTAAGAAAATATAAGTGTGAGCATTTACTGTTTACTGTTTCATAGATTCTCTTCCCAAGAGATTTCATAATTCTCATCCTAGAAATGTGTGTCTCGAATAGATTTCTGAAGTATGTTTTGTAACCTTAATTCAAGGAGCCATAAATTAGTGACACAGACACATTTCAGATGCAGTATCAATATTTCATGGAGATGGGCTCTCCTACGCCAAATCAATAACTACTTCAATAAAGTCTACAGTCGCTGAATTTTCATATCGTATTTAGAAAGTAAGAGAAGTGTTTGAGCAACTCCGTGACCTTAATTTTCAATTCCAATTCATGCTGGAACACAGTATTTCTGAAACTCCTTGATGCATACTCTTCAAAAAATGCCATTTCTGCAGATTCTTAAAGATTTAAATTTTAGAATCCCAACCTTCTTCTATTCATTTGGGCTTCATGATGAAGGGGATGGAGAAAGGAGACACAGACCCCAACACTTCCCAGCTTCCTCTTCACACACTACTGCCAGTCCTTTGCTGGTCATAGCCCGGTTTCCCCATCCTCATCCTTACAGCCCTGCCCCACCCCTTAACCTCAAGCATTTGTTAAGTCAGAGCCCACAAAGAGATAAATCCTAAATTTAACCTAAAGTACTTGAGAACATAGACATGAAAGGGCCACCTGCAGCCACAGATTCTCACTGGAATTTGCTGAATAAGTTAATACAATTTAAAAGAAACATGTTTCATTACGAAGGGGCGTTGGTCTCCCATAAATTCCCTAAGCCCCAAATAAAGTAGTAAAAAACAAAACAAAACAAAACAAAACAAAACAAAACAAAACAAAACAAAACCTGAAAGTGTTCAGTAGAGCCATTTATGCCAGGGGCATGGGGAATAATCATTACCATCACTATAGCAACGTTCATTTACAAGGAGCATTCTGTTTTCCAGGCATTGTGTTCTTGGCCATCAAAGGATACTGACCCCCTTTGCAAAATCTTCCCCATCATGAAACGATTGTATTAGGTCATCAAATTTTTATTTTATCAACCCTCCCGGTTTGTACTGATTTCACACTTGCCAAGAAAACTATGGATTATGATCTGGCCTCATTTATGGGTCTGTCTAAAGGAAGAAAAAAAAAAAGTGATGATCATATGGAATTTAAGTTTCCTTCTTATGGATAAAGATATACGGGGATTATAGAAAATGTCTTTGATGGGGGCACCTGGGTGGCTCAGTTGGTTAAGTGTCCAACTTCGACTCAGGTCATGATCTCATGGTTTGCGAGTTCGAAACCCTGCATTGGGCTCTGTGTTGACAGCTCTGAGCCTGGAGCCTGCTTCGGATTCTGTGTCTCCCTCCCTCTCTCTCTCTGCCCCTCCCCTACTCATGCTCTCTCTGTCTATCAAAAATAAATAAACATTAAAAGAAAGAAATAAAAAGAAAATATCTTTGATGGTAGTGTGACTTGCCATCTAAGAACGTCTATAGGAAACAACGTGCTGGTTAGTCTGGTCACTGGAACAATAAATTCTTGTTTTATTGAACAAGCTGTCCTTCTGCTGTCTACTTCAGTTACTGTGTGTTTTTATTCCTCCCCTGGACACTAAAGGGTGTTTGGTGCTTCATCAGGCTGAATCAGATCTAACAGTCCTTATCAGGACGACCAGCAGCTTTCAAAAAGGAATCAAAAAAACTACAGACCACAGGATTCCAACCATAAGACATTCCGGACCAGGCAAAACCAGAGAGACAGTACAAAGAGCGGTGGTTGCCAGGGGAAGAGACGAAAGGAGGGATGAAGAGGTGGAGACACAGGACGTTGACAGCAGTGGATCTATTCTGTGTCCCGTACAGTGATAGGTAGAGGCCGTTAGCCATGAGTTCAAACCCACAGTGTGCACACCGGCAAGAGGAAACCTCACGTGGACTATGAGTTTAGGGCGTTTACGATGTGTCCATGTCGGTTTGCTACAAAGGCGCCACTAATTCTGAGGCACGATGTTGACAGTGAGGGAAGCTGTGAGTGGGGGCACTTGGGAATCCGCTGTGCATCTTCTGCCTAGTTTCGCTGTGAATGTAAAACTGCTCTAAAAAAATAGTCTATTTTTTTAAAGGGATCAGAAATTTTTGTGCTTAAGAATCTCTAAATTAACACAGATTTTTAAAAATTGACACTCAGGAATTAGGCATGTGCCTGCTATATCCAGAGCACTCTGGATCCTATTATGCAGAGCACTCTGACTGATTCATCATCATAACCAGCGAACGCTGCATAGAAGAAAGAAATCCCAACATTCACTATGAGAGTCTAGATCTTGATTCTGTGGCCCTGAATGATTCAACCACATAACTGCTGACAAATGATGCTATACTGCCTAAATTTTATCAAACACAACACAGGGTTGACATCCTTGTTCCAATTTTCTAGACGAGGAAGTGAGGCCCTAAGTGCTAAATCTCTTGCCTGAAGGTCACACAGTTATCCTAAGTTTCAAACTGGTCAGGTTGAACCCGTAATCTGAGCTCCACACTAAACTACCCTCTGGAAAAAACCGGCATCTCTATCTTCACACTCCTGACTGGCTCACTAACCTCGTTGTTAGAATACCTGCTATTTACTGAATATGCACAATTCTCACTGCCCTACACAGCTTATATTATTTAGTTCTTCACAACAATCCCACGATATAAGCTTCACCAGCTTTTGTGAACAAATGATAAGACACGGTAAGGCCGACTGGGGAAGACCAAGGCATCTTGATCGTGTTCCAAAACTGATATGTGACACGAAGTCCAAGCTCCTTTCACAGGGATATATTTCTTTCAAGACTAGAAAGCTGCCTGTTCTTTCTCTTTCAGGTCTTCCTTTCCACTTAAGTGGGGGTGGGGGGGAATCATAAAACTGCTAGGAAATCATACTACTACATTGCCATTTCTTCAGTTTTCATAAATTTTGTCTTGATACGAGAAAGGGGAATCATGATTTAGCTTGTATACAATTTCCATTCAATACAATGGATAGGGTGCCTACTACATAACTTGAATGACAGCAGTGAAAATACAGGACAGCACCCTATCCTCATGGAACTTGTACTTCGGTGGGAAATTGACATAAAGTGAAAATATTAGTTAATGCTTTGAAGACAAAGAGAGCAGAATGAAGGGTTAGAGGTTGAAGATGGTTGTACCATATTTTGATGGTACAATCAGAGAAAGTCTGCTTCCATACATAACGTTAAAGCAGCTAAGAGACAGGCGTGATTCTAGATTTTTTTTTTCAGGTGTAAATCAGCTATTATTTTGACAAGAGGTTAAGTGTACATAAACCCCTTCGGTAGCGGTAACCCAGACACTGAACGATTGATATCCCAAGCATAAATATTGAGAATCCTCTTCTCCACAGGACATTGTACATGGCGCTCGAAGGTGAAGTCTGTGATGTAGTAAGAGATAATTGTTACAGAGCGCATGCTTTTATTACAGAAGAAACACTCAGGCATGCATTAAGCTTTTCTTGTTGTACACGGCACATAATTACTAAAAGTCTCGCCGTCTGATATCTGAAGCTTCTTCTGGCAACTTGGAAGTGAAAGATATTTTGCTAGAGAGAGGCCGTGAGAAATTGGTACCTGTCACCCTGAACTCAAGGGAAGATGCAGAATTAACAAACGAGTGTCCATCTAAAAATTATGAAATGATGGCAGGCTAGGTTGGCTGGCTCAGAGTGAACTCGTAAAGACATTTAGTAATCTTTTAGAGCATTCAGAATATCAGAGAACTGTGGCTTCATAATAGTCCCAACTTTGTCTGATTCAACAATGACATGTTAGGTATACACTGTTCAAAAGGCACAGTGTGGCATATTTTCTAATATTGTCTAAAATTAGTCTCCTTGGTTTTTGAAAGAATAAGACTTGGCCATCTAGACCCATCACTTTGAGAAATAACATTCCCTGGGCTCACTGCATTGATGACTCAATGAGTTTTTTGAATCATTTGGGGCTACAAAAAATCAAGATATGTACTCTAATAATGACTCTTAAGGTTCCTTTCTTTTCTGCAGCGTTTTGAGGTTATGTTGATGCATCGGTCAAAGCATCCTGAATAACAGCATCATCTCACATCTAATTTCCATACCTCTTTGAAGGCACTCTCAGAATCTCCACGTATTTTAAGTGAAGCTCTCCATTTCAGGAAAAGGGTACACTGAATTATTAAGATGGTGTTTTATGGGTTTAATCTGAACACTGTAGTGATTAAAATGACCTAATGCAATAAAAATATAGCTATATGAATATAGACATATAAGCAAGCAAAAATCCATTACTCTGTAAGGTCTTCTATCTTTTTCTCCACCAGAGTCGGGGGCACGTTCGAAACGATCACCTGCATGTCCAGCTGGTTGACCACAGAGACCTGCAGGAGGAGAACCAGAGCCCGTTGAGAACTAACGAGCATTTTTATAACCCATTTCTTTCCTACTATGCATAGACCCAGTGGCTCCCCATGCTTCATTTAGGATTAAGTATCTTTAGTGAGACAACCACCATTAGATTTTGGCCAGGTGGAGATGGGTAGACTATCATTGCTTACTTAGAAGTAACAGAGCCCTAAGTGACTTCTACTCTTGTCGGTTTCTGTGGGGTTTTTTTGTTGGTTGGTGATTGTCTAAAGCATGAAGGAAGGCACATTCATTTTTCTAATTGGGTTATTTAAGAACACTCAGGATAATGGAAAACACGGGTTTTACAAATCTCAGGAAAGCATTCATCCAGTGTGACTAAGAAGCTGAGATGTGAGTAGTTAGAATAATTCATTCCATGGGATCATTAGACAGCCTTCATGTCTGCTTCAGCAGATGCTGGGTTTGTTATGCCCCTGAATACTGGCTTTGTGTATCATGTACAACAAAGGTATTTAAATGTTTACCATTTCTAGATCTTATTTATGTTACTTTCCCAGTGCAGTGGTTAGGCAAATATTTCCAGAAATAAACAGGTCATTTTTGAAGGAATTCTGCTTATAAAATTCTGCTTATAAAGACTTTTTAAAAACATATTTCTATTATTGTTGGGTTCAATCTCTGTAATGGATTAAAATTACAAGAAAGAGTCAAAAGAAGAAAAAGTAATATTTGTGAAGCATACATTCTAAAATCAGAGGTTGCCAGTGTACGTATTATTTCTAAGTTCTTCTAATTCTTCCTAATGGACTTCTTAGCTTTCCTTTTTTTGTCTATTTGTGCCCAGGTACTTTAGATAGTAGTGGCCAATAAAAAAATTAATGTAAGCCACATATACATGCAGATATGTAATTTAAGAGTTTCTGGTCCCCATGATAGAAAGATTTAAAAAAACAGTGAAAGCCATTTAATAATACACTTCACCCAATATGTTAATAGATTATCATCCCAACACACAATCAATACAAAACAACTTATTGAGACATTTTACATTTTTTATACTAAGTCTTTGAAGCCCAGTGTGTACTGTATGCATACTTACAGTACGTCTCAATGTGACACGGCCACATTTCAAGTGCTCAGTAGCAACAGAGGACAAGTGACTAACACACTGGACAGCAAAGCTCTAGAAACCCTCACCTTCTCTTGCTGGTCACTGTCTCTCCTGACTGGTCTCTGGTGCCATCTCATTTTTCTTGAAAAGGAAGAGGCAGCTTAATAATCTTTTTTAGACAGCTTTGTATAGTCTTTGATACAACACCAAAAGTCAAGTGCTAGTCTGAGTGTGAAATTGAAAATCGGGTTTAGTTACATTAAACCACATTTATCTATCTTCCACTTTCAATGGATCTTTACCCACAAATGATGCTTTAATATCATGCATTGGTCATATGGAAAATGCCGGTTCATTGAGTAGCACAGATTCTTCAAATATTGAAACACTACATAATACAATATCAAGAAAAATGTCACATTCCTTAAAATGACCACTGATCTCATGGTCTTTAATAATGGGAAGCTGTCAGGCTCACACTGGTGACTGACTACAAGCTTTCCAATATTCTTTTTATCCTTAAAATTTATTTTACTTTTATTTACTTTCATTTTTTTTTAAGTGTATTCATTTATTTTGAGAGCGAGAGAGTGCGCAAGAGCGGGGTGGGAAGGGCAGAGAGAGGGAGAGAGAATCCCAAGCAGGCTCTGTGCTGTGAGCGCAGACATGGGGCACGATCCCACAAACCACGGGATCATGACCTGAGCTGAAGTCAGATGCTTACTGACTGAGCCACCCAGGTGCCCCCAAGCTTTCAAATATTCTACTTTGCGCTTGGAAGCTTTGATGCTATCAGTAGCCACAAATACTGTCCGTTGTTTTCCTTGAACTGACCGGCTCAATTCATTCATTTTTGTGTAAATGTCTACCAAATATTTAAGTCTGAATAAGCCTATTTTATCTCAAGTTATGTTTTCAAAGCAAAAGCTATTTCGTAAAAAAACAAAAACCCAGCCAATTCAGCTTACATAATAGTTCTCCTTCAGACTGCCCTCTATGTCCTTAAACAACAGAAGTGTTCGAAGCATACTTCCCATTTCATTACACAACATACTGAAAAGGTATTTAGTCAAGAGTGGAGGTTTGTTAAAATTAATCAGTTTTACTGCTTATGAGTAAGGACACTCTTCAAGCTTTTTTTTTTTTCCTGTTCATGTATGACTATGAAGGATACAGTGAAAATAGTGGTGCAAATGCAATACAGTAAAAAAGTCAAACAATGCCCTAGCAGTCTCATGAAAAAAGTTCTGACTCCACCAAACCCCAAAATTATTTGGGGGGGGGCCCTTGGCACTCCATGGACCACACTTTGATAACTGCCAATTTACACTGTAAGACAGAGGTGATTCACCCGTCGATTGGGCACTGGGTACCCTCTGTATGTCAGGAATTATTCTGGGCATTTGAGATACATCAGGGAATAAAATAATTAATTAAAAACAACAACAAAAAGCTATCCTCATGCAGTTTCCGGGTGGAAATACGAACATGAATATAAATCCACTGTAAAGAGAAAACAATTAAGAGGTGTGATGTTACACTGTCGGCTGCAATTCTGAGCTGGATGGTCTGAGGAGGCTCCAGTGTGAACTACATCCTTGGAAATTTTTGGAGGAGATGCGGGAGCTAGTTCTGAACACTTTGGGGGAAAGAACATTCTAGACAGAAGCACTGCAAAATCACAAAAGTGAGGGAATGTCTGCCTATTTGGGGAACAGCAAGTTGGCCAATATTACTGGGTCTGAAGGACTTCAATGGAGAATAGAAAATGATGTCAATGAAGGCCAGATTATCCAGGGCCTCATAGTCTTCTGTAATGACCCAGGAATTTCTCTGAAAGACCTGGGTGATAGGAAAAGCTTTTGAGCAGAGAAACAACAGGACCTGAATTACCTTGTAAGGGATCACTTTGGCTGCTATATTAACACCAGACTTGAGTAGGGGAAGGGAGGAAGCATGGGGGCAAGTTACTGAGTTTGTGAGATGACACAGGTGAAATAGGAGGGTGGTTTCAACCAGGCTCCAATAGGAGAAGGGTTGAAAAATGTGTAGATGACATATACATTTATATATATATACACACACACACATACATACACATACATACATATATATATATATATATACATACACACACAGACATACATATACATATATATGTTCGTCACACACACACACATATATACATAACATTTATGAATACCACAGTATTTACTGAGGGATTCATTGTGTGCCTTAGGAGAGAAAGGAATCAAGAGCTTTTTAGCCTAAGGAACACAAAGATGATCTGGTCATCGAGTAAAACTGAGGAGACGGGGAGGGAGGGATGACAGAGTGAAGAGATGTGATGAAGAAGAGGAACTCAGTTCAGGAAACATTAAATTGGCATCTTCACCCAACTTTCCAGTGTGCACACAGATCTATGAATTTGCTGTTCAGAAATGATCTTTGGGGCCAAAACATAAATGTGATGTTCTTTAGTATATAGATGACATTTTAAAGTTCTGGTGACTGAATGAGTTTACGGAGTGAGAATAGACAGAAAAGAGAATTAATGTCTGACCCAGAAGAAACATCAATATTAAAAGGTCAGGAGAGGAAAATGAACCAGAAAGGAGACTGAGAAGGGATGAACAGTGAGGTAAGAGACGACCACAGGATAATGTGGCCCAGAAGCCTCATAAAGGTAATAACCAGTCGAGTATTGCTGATGGTTCAAATACGATGACGACTGACATTACCAGTGAATTTAGTAACATGGAAGTTCTGGAGGAGGGCTTGGAGCAGAGTTATAATTAGAGACGGTTCAAGAGAGATTCCACAGCAAAAACCTAGAGCCCACCCCAGCAGTGAGTATTTCTGGAAAGAGGAACATAGAAATGAAGTGGTATTTGGAAGGAGATGTAGGTCAAGAGGGTTTTTAACATCAGTTTGGAAGATGGAAAACCAGCATGTTTATGGGAATAATCCAATAAAGGGGAGATTGATATGGCTCTTGCATAAAAGAAACAGAAGAGCGGCTGAAACGATGTCCCAGAGCTGGCGGGTGGGGATTGGGCCTGTTGTAGAGGTAGAAGTAATGATAGGAGCATAAAGAACTTGTCTAAGTGAGCAGGGAAGAAGACAGAGCATACATTGGTATAAATTCTGGTAGATCAGTAAGATTCGTGGTGCGGGTTGTAGTAGTCGTCTTCTAATGCCTTAATTTTATCTTTCAGTGAAACAGAATGTTCATTAACCAGACAACAGTGAGGTTAAGAAGATACTGGAGGACGGCACAATAGGGGCTCTTGCAGGAGAGACGTGTGGAGGGACCAGGAAGCACAGTGTGGTGCTCACGTGGGGGCTTTTATCATTAATTTAAAGTAAGACTCTACAACTGTGTATGTTTCTGGAGACATACTCAGCATGACTATAGGTCTGGAGAGAGGAGAATGTTGGAATTATTTAGACTTATGGTTTTGCCAAATGAGTATGACGTCAGGAGAAAGGGCAAGGAAGTTGAATCCCTATGTGACTGAGGGCTTATGGTGGTCAGTGTTGTACTATAAAGCTAGTGTGCAGCAGAGAGAAACCATGAGGGTGGAGGGAGGCTAAATGGACTGAAGGTCCTGGAGGAGCCATGGAGTGCTGGTGTTAGCTGGGTATGTTCAGTATGACTTTCGAAGATGGGAGGTTTGAAATGGAGGTTATAGAGGCGATGCATTCACTGGTAATGAGAGAAATAGCTGGTTTCTAGTGGATGCAATAGGGTGGAGGGCAAAAGCACCGGAGAAGAGGCAGCCAAGAGGTTGTAAATTCAGGATACTGGAGGAATCATTTGTGTGTGTGTGAAACTGCCAAAAATCAGGACAATGGGATTGCTGGAAATGGTGATAGTAACCAGAAACTTAACTCACTGAGTGTGTTGGGGGAGGAAGACCCAAGGTTTGGGAGATCACAGCAACAATGTGAGAGAGGCAGTGAGTGACAGGCTCAGACAGGGAGAACCAAGGCTGGATCTCAAGAAGAGGGAAGGTCTAGAAGTAGCCACGTCATGCTCAAAGGTCCCCCTCAGCCAGTGTGTGGTCTGAAGTGCAGCAAACAGAAACAGAAAAGGATTCAAACAGAAGCCAGCAGCGTGAGGAGTGTCCTCTTGGGAGAACAGAGTCCCAATAAGCAAGGTTTCTTCTGAATTAAAAATCTTACCTTCACTCACTCCTGCTAAAAATTTTCCAATGCTTTCCCACTACCTTTAAGAAAAAGTTCCAGTGTGTTAACATGGCCGACGACCACCACATGAGCCACCTACTGCCATGCGCAGCCTGGCTCTCAGCTCTCATGCACTCTGCTGGCTCGCTGCTCTGGGCTGAGTACTATCTCTCCGGGACTCAGGCTGTCACAACTTGTCTTCCTTCTCGGTTCTGGCCCAGGCCATTCCCTCTCCATCAAAGCCTCATGTATCCCTTTCTCTCCACATTCCCTTCTCTTGCCTGACAGGATTTCAGACTTACCATAAATGTTGTTTTGCTAGGAAGTTTTCCACACACACACACACACACACACACACACACACACACACACGGTAGTTTTAAAGGTATACTTTTTAATTTCCACACAGTAGTTTATAGAGTCGAAATAAGAAACCCATAAACTTCGCATGGCTTATGTACGTATTACAAATATAATCTACATAGTTATATTTTATTTATGCTATTGTAGTATTTTTTTATTTTAGGAGGGGGAGGGGCATGGAGAGGAAGAGAGAGAATCCTAAGGGGGGGTCCATGCTCAGTGTGGAGCCTGATGCGGGGCTCGACCCCACGCTCTGGGATCATAAGATAAGGAGTTGGACAGTCAATCGACTGAACCCCCCAGGTGCCCCAAAGTAGTATTATAATTATAAATACTTAGCGTAATTACCCTAGTGGCTAATCTTACACGATCACAGTGTGCAGCCCTTTAACATGAAGGGAAATAGCAACATTATTTTATATTAGGTTTGCAGATCTTAATTTTATCAAAAATCAGTGTCAACGTTAGTATCTTCTATGTCAAAAGCTTCCAGACTTAGATTGGCCTTTGTTTACCACCACTGCACTGTTCTAAATGGGGATGTTCGAACTTCATAGCCATCATAGTCAAGGTGGTTGGTCTTCATGAGTACCTATGTAGAAGAAAAATATTGATCCTGCTGTCTGCGTATCTGAGAAGGTTGAACTAGTTCAGAGAATTACATGTAACGGTGAAAATGAAGATTTAATAAGATGCAAACGGCAAAAGAAAAATTATACTTGATGATGCCTTTATGTGAGAAGCATTTCCAGTAATAATTATAACTTGTAATCATAGAAAAATCCAACTAGTCCACACCACCAGGTTGGTGGAAATTCCACAAGTCAGAAACACGGGTATTGAACACCTTCAATAAGCAGTAATATCAAACCACCCTTGAGTACGCTCTACCACTGAGATGGTGTCCAGCCTAAGAAAAAGCAGAGGAAAGCAATGTTCTTGACTGAGCCAAATATAACTTAGTCAAGAATCATCGATGCTATCATCAGGGATTTGGGTCAAATAAGGAAATGACATCTATTGGAGCAGGAATTTGCGTCAAAAAATTTCCTTTTATTTTCTTAATTACAAAAGGTCTAAAAGGAATTTAAGGGGCGCCTGGGTGGCGCAGTCGGTTAAGCGTCCGACTTCAGCCAGGTCACGATCTCGTGGTCCAGGAGTTCGAGCCCCGCATCGGGCTCTGGGCTGATGGCTCAGAGCCTGGAGCCTGTTTCCGATTCTGTGTCTCCCTCTCTCTCTGCCCCTCGCCCGTTCATGCTCTGTCTCTCTCTGTCCCAAAAATAAATAAACGTTGAAAAAAAAATTTTTAAAGGAATTTAAGCATTAATACAAATTTCATACATTTTAATTTCTCCAGCACAACTCTGTGAAGTAATTAAAAAATTTTAAGGAGCTCCAGCCAACTCTATAGTAAAATGAGATCTGAAGACCAAATAGTAATCCAATACTTTGGAATTGCTGTCACAATCATATATAAAAACATATCATGATGTGGTTCCCAAGTGCGAAAAAAATGCACAGCCTTAAAGCTATACCTTTTATATCCTAAGCTAGAGCTATTGACAACCTGGATGAAAATTAATTTAGATTTTAGGAAACCTATTTGGATTAAACTTAAAAGGTCTATGAGTTGGGGCACCTGGGTGACTCATTCAGTTAAGCATCCGATTCTTAGGCTCAGGTCACGATCTCATGGTTCAAGCCCAATGTGGGGCTCTGTGCTGACAGTGCACAGCCTGCTTGGGATTATCTCGCTCCCTCTCTCTCTTCTCCTTCCCTGCTCGTTCTCTCTCTTTCTCTCTCAAAATAATAAAACTTAAATAAAAAAAATTCTATTAGTTGAAAGCACTGACCATGGGGTAACTGCACTCCAGTCCCCTAATCTCAACTTTCACCTACTTACCAGCACATCTGCCTTGCCACTTAGCCCCTGCCCATAGTTGTCAGTCGCGATGACTTGGAATTTGAAGTAGGACCTTCTCATGTTGTGGAAAAGCATAGCGGTTTTGATGAGCCCGGTATATGTTTCTACCACAAATCCTTCTTTTCCCTCTTTAATTGGTGGAATGATGAGTCGGTATGCCATGGCGCTATAATTGCCAGTATCTTTGTCAGTAGCCTAGGAGGGGAAAACAAAGCAAAACAAAACACAGGGTATAAATAAGCAGGAAAAACATAGCCTATATTAAAGGGCTTATTTCTGTTTGTAAGACTGATGTTCTTTTGTGATAATAACACAACACAACCCTCCTAAGTGTCTATTGTTCTGGATATCATCCCGTAGATTATCAGCCTTTGTGTCCACAGGGATGAATGATAATGACTACCCAGGGTGAATTCCAAGGACACAGACACTAACCCGGTCCAGTCAGTGAATCAAGTGTTTTGATTGGCATGTCTGATACATTCCACTCTGGGCTGGGATCCAAATTGGTTTAAGGATGGGATTGATTGTTTACCTAGCCATTGTCTTGTGTAATAGACATAGCTTGTGACAGTGCTTTTCATCTAACCCATTTCCGAAAGGGGAAAAAATAAAATAATGCACTAAAATCTCTCAGATGACAAGAAGAATAAAAGTTCAAAACTTTTTCGTCAATAAGTCTAGAGATATATTAAGATCCTAATTAGTTAATGCCAATGTCATAATTAGAGAAGGTTAGAATACTAATTGTTCCTTTTTAATCACTCAATATCCTGATTAATCAGATTTGTTCCTAGTTGTAGGTACTAATGATCTACATGTTAAGGTTTCTTAATATTTAGAATTTAAAAAGGTAAATAGTTGTTTAGAGGTCTTTTGTAATGAAGCTTTGAGGGTAATATATTAGTCTGGATCTATAGCTTCTACTTCAGAGATGTTTCAGAACACAAATTTGAGAATTATTTCGTAGTGAAATATTTGGAGGAGGAATAATGGATAGGAGAGTCTTAGTGAATTTATACAAGGTTACGTACACCTGCTTCATGATACTAGATATATAACTTTTATATTGTTATTATTCATTATTTTCATTATCTAGTTATTTTTACTAAAAGTATTATTAAATGTCATGTATCAAGCATTTTCGATGTCATTACAATGCTAAGGATTCTACAAAGCATCATCCTTTTAAATACAAACTCTGAGAAATGTATTATGCCAATTATATAAATTAATGCTGTCTAGTGAAACTTTCTGTGGTGATGGAAATGCACTAAATGTGTTCTAACACAGCAGCCACTAGCCACATATGACCAATGAACGCTTGAAATGAGGCTTATGTGACTAAGAAACTGAAATTTTAATTCTAATTAAAGTGATATGGCCAAAGGCTACATAGTAGGTGGTGAAGTTGGGATATAAATAATGACAATAATAGTGAATGCATGTTAAAGGTTACCATGGGCTTGGATCTCCATCTTCAAATTCTCTATATATGTGCTCAACCATTGGAAACATTTAAGGATAGCTCTACCTTTCTATTAAACAAGGTAACTTAAAGTAAGCAAACAAAGAGATATTTTCCTTCAGGATAAGAGATTTCTTGAATTTTGTCAAAATGACTTTCTAAGAAGTCAGATGAGCTGAGCTCCAGCACCAACTCATCTCTGTAGATGGTCTATGTTTCACATGGTGGTGGAGCTGAGTTTTGGCATTAGAGGGACAGTAATTAGATTTCAACATTAGATCACATTATCACTAAAAGGGGAAGAAGAACAAAGAAAAAATAGTTATCAAAGTGTTTCTTTTTAAGCTTTGAACTCAGGCGTTTTATTCATTTAATAAAGTAGAACATAAAAAATAAAAAAAACCATTCCCAACTAAAATTAAAATCAGAGTTTGAATCAAGTAATCAAAGACATTTCTTTTGCATACGATGAGCAAACTTGGGACCAATGACAAATAGGTCAAAGATTTGGTTGAGTATTATCCTTTAACTTATAATTAGCATGGATGTTTCCACTGAAATAAATTTTTTACTGTTAATGCAAATGACAGTGAAGTATTAAAAACATGTACAAAATGCACAAATCGTAAGAATACAGGTCAAAAAAATTGCAAACGATGCACATCCACGTGACTAGCACCTGCTTCAAGAAAGAAAACATTACCGCATCCCAGAATGTTCTCTATATCCTCGAACAACACCTACTCCCTAGGGAAACCAGTGGCCTTATTTCTAACACCATTCAGTAGTTGCGCCTATTCTAAAATGTTATGTTGATGGGATCACACTATATGCTCCCTCTTCTATCTGAATTCTTTTACTCAATTTTGTGTTGTAAGATTCTAAACCCTTATATTTTTAAATTGTTATAGGCATTTTAAATCATTTTATTTCATCTTCCCTCTAACACTATGAGATAGGTATTATTATTCCCTATTTTACCTATGAAGAACACGAGACTCCAATAGTTATATACCTAATCCACTTAGCTCTTTCTGTGCTTCAGGATTCGAATTCTGATCATTCCGACTCTAGAATCTAAGTCCAATTCGCCACATTTCCCATGCTCCCAAGTATTTACAGCTAACATCTAGTCCTGTGCTTTTTTCTTTTTAATTTAAAAATTTTTGTAATTTGAACTTGACACACAGTGTCACATTAGTTTCGCGTGATTCAACATCTCTGTGTGTCATGCTGTGCTTACCCCAAGTGTAGCTACCATCTGTCACCATATAACTCTATTGCAGTATCATTGATGACATTCCTTATGCTGTGCCTTTCATCCCTGTAACTTATCCATTCCGTAACCGGAAGCCTGTACCTTCCCCTCCCCCCCTTCTCCCCTTTTGTCCATCCCCTACACCCCTCCACCAGCAACCATCAGTGTGTTCTTTGTATTTATAGGTCTGATTCTGCTTTATGTTTGTTTGTTTACTTGGTTTTGTTTGTGTGTTTGTTTTAGATTCCACAAATGAGTGAAATTTTATGCTACTTGTCTTTCTCAGTCAAACAAACCTTTGTATTTTTAAATGAACCCTGTAGCTCAACACAATTATATTTAGGAAAGAAAAGGTAGTTACAGTAAAATCATTGTGATTGCTTGGTACATTCAGTTTCTTTGTACAGTTCTTACTGAGTAACTTCCAATTTCAAAAACAAGTAATTTCACTTTCTAGTATTTCTAAGTTACTAGAAACTACAATTTAGGTAACCACAAAGTAGACAGGTTAACAGGTTAAGGTGCTTTTTCAAACACACTGAGGCAGGAGGGAAGGGAGGCTTGGGAGACAAGTTGACTAAAGTAAAGCCATATTGGTTTTAGGCTGACCCTGAACAAAAAGAGTCACAAGATCCAACTCATGGAAGACTATCAGCCCCATGCCCTCTGGCAATAAAAGCCACAAAGGCTGGGCATTCTTAAGACCGCTCCCTGTGGTTAACTCCACAACCCTAAGACAATGGAAAAACAAATGGCCCAATGTAAGTAATAAACCCAAATTTAAAGAGCTACCCCCTCCCTATATGGTTAGCTACCCCCTCCTTATATGGTTCAAAAATCTTTCAGTAGAGACAAAGGGGGTCCTCTTCCCCATCTGGGAGGGAGACCAATACTTTGTGAAGTAGCTCCTTTCTTATTTCTAAATGTCTTGCTCTTGAATTCTTTCACAGACAAAGCCAAGAACCCAAATGGCAAGTGTCCTGAGAACCTCCCTCTCAGAGCCTTGGCCCATCTGGTGTCAATACCATTCCTGAAGCAAATAATCATTTAATGCAAAAGTCTGGGTATGAAATTAGCAATTACAAGTTAGAAATATCTAATTTCTTTTATGATTTTTTCACAGTACATTTGGAGCAAATTATCAAAAAATAAGATACAGGGTTTTTAAAAATCACGTTTACTGGATATTTTCCCAAAAGTATAAAATTACTACTGTCATATTAATGTTGTAAGTAATGACTTCACTTTGCATTTCTATTTCTTTGCATGGTATTAATCCTTTTTGGAATCTCAAAGACCTCATTTCAGAAAACCGGCATTGATGATAGCTTCCCAGAGTCATCAATATTCTTTCAAATCTCCCTCCTTTCTCCCAAGTACATCTAGTTGAATACTAGCCAGTTAGACAGTGAAGGATAAAAATTCCAATTAGTACCACACTTAGAAGTAATTTAAAGTATTTTCAAGTTCAATTTTGAGCGTATTTAATTTTCTTTTTTTTTTATTTAAAAAAAATTTTTTTTTTCAACGTTTATTTATTTTTGGGACAGAGAGAGACAGAGCATGAATGGGCAAGGGGCAGAGAGAGAGGGAGACACAGAATCGGAAACAGGCTCCAGGCTCTGAGCCATCAGCCCAGAGCCCGACACGGGGCTCGAACTCACGTATCGTGAGATCGTGACCTGGCTGAAGTCGGCCGTTTAACCGACTGCGCCACCCAGGCGCCCCAAGCGTATTTAATTTTCAACAAACACATGATTTAAGACTGAAACCTGTCTATAAGATGTGACTGATCAATGTTGTGTAGGTACATGGGAATTACACATAATTAACAACCAAATATTCCTTCATGATATCAATGAGAAGACATGATATATTTATGTACTAAATTACACCAAAAATACTGATAAAAAAAATAAGAACACAATTTTAAATCTGGTTTCAGATGTGAAAAGTGAGAGTTTCAGCAGAGTGTACTACAATAACTATTTGCTTTCTATGTTTGATAATTTTAAATTTACTTTTATGTTTTGTGTGTTTGTGTGTGTGTGTGTGTGTGTGTGTGTGTGCATGTGTAGGTTGTGTTTTAGAGAGATAAGGACTCAAATGTCGGGTGTGATTTTGAAAAAATATCACTCAGAGTTTCAGTTTTCCTTATTCATAAAATGAAAAAAAAACACTGATCAACAAACATTATTTCAAGATAAATATGTATATGTGTATATATATTTATATACACATATATATACATATATAAAGATAGCCAAGTGTAGTATAACTATTATAACTTAATATTTTATAATATTAAAAATTTTAACATTTTTCATATCATGATATTTACCAATGAATATGCACAAAATTACTTTAAGCTTATTACTCCAGACATGTTATCATGAGATTGTAACTTCCTTAAAATAATCCATTAATCAATTTTTTCAAGATACCTGTACTTTGCTCTTTTTTTTTTTT